ATTATTGAATCGCTCTTGTATTCTAAATTTAGAAGAAAGTTCAACCAATTGCTGGGTGCGAAAATAGTATATCAAAGATAAACAGTTATTGATGAATGGTGTTCAAAGTTCTTTGGAAATTCCAAGTATTTACATTTCGGTGATGCATGATTGATAACCTATTGGTATTTCCAAGAAAGTCAGGCCTGCTTTGGTTGGCTTGATTTCTTTTGTTAAGGGACATCGAAATTAAAGTAGTTTGGCGAAAAAAAAACTGAAAACCGACTTGTGACCCACTGTTTGGAACATTTGTTGTAGTAATGAATTTTACTGGAGTTTTTTCCCAACACCAAACCGTTACTTTAACACATCGATACGTATTTCGATCACTAAGTGATCATCTTCAAGAGTAATATTAAACTGAAGATTAAACTTGAAGATGATCACTTTTGGTGATCGAAACACGTGTCGAAGTGTCTAACAAATTTGGAGTCTATGGAAAAACAAATAAAATAAAAATTAATGAAAATAGTAAAAGTTACCAGACCAAATAATTTGGGAAAATTGAAAGAAAAATAAGCGATTCAAAAATATAAGCACGCTACTTCGTGAAGCAAATTATTGTAACCTGAAATAAAAATAAATTGATAAATGGGTTAACAATGGGTAAAATGTATGGAAACAACAAAAATGAATGTAAACTAAATAAAACAAGATAATTGATTGGAATAAATGCAGAAGTTGCAGTGAATCACATCAGCTGACCACCATACAGTGACCATGGTTTTTTTTTGGTGGGTTTTGACCTTTGGGAAATGCCTGGGTGGGTCATCATGGAGAAAGCGTTGGCTCAAGTCTATTATATTTGTGAGGGGGACTACTTTAAACTTAACAAAATGAAAATGTATCAATAAAATGAGAAAAATAAAAATTGACCTCAATTTTGAACGTTTTAGAATGAGACGAATTAAGTTACAAAATTAGAAACTAAAAACTTGAAAATGAAGTAAGTAAACATTTTTTATGTTGAACGGTTTTATTGAAAAAAAAAAGATAATACTGATGTAGATGATGGATTAAAAACTGAAATATTATTCGGAAGATCCTAGGAAGGAGTCATCATACCACTCGCTTCAGCAATCTACGGTATTGATCATATATAAATGTAGTTTAAAAAATTAAAAAACACGCTTTTAAACAACATCGAACTAAAAAGTTGAAAATATATTTTTTCAAATAAGCTTAAAACAATAACGAACGAAAAATATTATTNTGACCTCCTAGACATTCTTCAATTATAACATCAGACATCGGATACACCATAACAAGATTAACTTCCATTTAGCCAATTTTTTTCAACTTCAAAGAGCCGGTCTGTAATTGTTCAACAATAGACGGGCATTCTTCGTTCATAAACCCCTATTAATCAATTCAATATTAATGAACGACATGCTCGTTATTCTGTTTGCGTCGAATGCAAGTCAAACTCGTTTCATTACCCTAGGTTAGGTTGTTATCCTTCAAAGTTAGGCGCGGTCCATTAAAAATAAGTATAATTTAATAGTAGATTAGGAACTGAGTCAAAGCTATTCGGGTTTGTTGCCCGTGGTCAGTGGCTTTTCATGTCTGACGTTTCGTCTGCTACTGCGGTAGATATTATCGAAATTTATTAGGCAACGGACGAAGTGCATCCGTTATCCCAACTACAGTCAATGTTTCAGTCTCCATTGGTGGTGGGCAACGCTTCGTTTCTGTTGGCCTAATTGAATGACCTTATTTTGCAAGTGTAATTTAGCGCAGGTAGCGAGAACTTACTGGTGTCAATTCATTCGGTAGTGAGCTCGGAACTCTATCGAAAACTGGGGTCTCTTCGCACGCGGTAACGTAGATACTTTCTCTGAGTGCATATTCCGCTACTGCTGATTTGTCGGTATACCGCAGGCGTTCAGAGAACCAGTGGTTTCATGATCGATCCACAGCTACAAGGGATTTGGTATACTTCCTGTGCTGCTGAAGACCATCTGGGTTCCGTAGCTAACCCCGACTCTCTGATGTTGAAATATCAGTGTATTTTTTGGCTTTCAGTCTTCAAAAGGTACACAAGACGCCATTTTTTTACTCCTGGAAAACCTGTACACCAATCTTGATGAAAGAGAATCTGCGGCGGCCGTGATAGATAGATAGATATGTTTTGTGACCTAACCAAAGCCTTCGATTGTTTAGACCACATGCTACTTCTTCGCAAGCTAGACGTTTGCGGATTTAGAAGATCTGCATTACTTTGGTTTGAGGCGTACCTTTCTCATCGGCGCCAGAATGTTCTATTAGATGGAATTTCATCAGAGGAACGTTTCATTGGCAGTGGGTTCCCGCAAGGTTCCGTTTTGGGACCGGTGTTGTTTCTCATTCATGTCAATAACTTAGTCCATGTTGGCATAAGTGGTAAATTTACATTTTTCGCTGAGGATAGTGGTGTGATTTCAGTCTTTTGTAATTCAACATCGACAACATCAGATATTTATGCAAGGCTAGCTACAGGGATTCATACCGCCCATTATTTGTAAAGTAAAACATTCTGACCTTAGTTTGTCTTTTCGTCCCTACTATAGTGTGGACGAATTCTACCAAGGCTCTATCAAGTAATTGGCATGTAGCTTTGTGTTATTAAAAGTTATTAATAAAGTTATTAAAATCAACACGAAACGGCTATCAATGTTTGTCATATAATAATAATAATCTTTATTCAATCCTCACAGATCACATACAGCATGATATAGAATACGTCACAAATAAAAAAACCGTGTGTTGATAGACAAATTCACAATCAACAATATTAATATATCACAATTTAATAAATTTGTTCACATATACATGAAAACATGTATAACATTTATATTCATACATATGATCAAGAAATTCTTTGATACCATAGTAACATTTGTTTTGCAAATATACTTTCAATTCTGATTTGAAGAAGTTTTTATTCCGTTGCTCTCTCAGATTTGCGGGAAGATGATTGAAAAAATGTATTCCTCTATATGAGGGGCTTTTTTCGTAGAATAATGAGCTGTGTGCAGGAATTCTGATGAGGTCTCCGTTTCTAGTTGGGTAACCATGGCAATGAGAAACTGTTTGATACATCTCAAAATGTTGCATAAATAACATTATACATTTGAAAACATAAATACATGGAACTGTTAAAATTTTATATTTTTGAAAATATGGTTGACACGATTCATCTGGTTGTAGATTGAAAATGAGTCGAATAATTTTTTTTTTTAGAAAAAAATATTCTGTTTGAGTTACTGGAGCATCCCGAGATGTTGATGTCATAGGATATATTGCAGTAGATTAGAGCATAATATACATTGATGAGTTGATTGGTACATTTACTCAATATTCATATATTCATGTACTTATATTTGTATCTGTTGAGCTGGGCTTGATATTGTTCTGTCCATATACTCTTGTCTCTAAGCATTATTTTATAGTTCATATTTGTTAATCGTTCAGATCTTGGGTAATAAAACATATTTTGATATTTGATTTGAAGGTGTTGACATTTGGGGTTTACTATTATCAGTATTTCTACTTAATATTACTGTCATTATTGACATTCATTCCATTTGATAACTGTTTGGTTTTTCCCAATAGTTGCGAGTCAATTGGGTCGATGTATTTGCACATAAAGATTATTGGCGAAAGCCAAATTTCAGAATAACCTTTAGCACTTATCATGCTCGCCAAATTGTTGATTTTTATAAAAAATCTTCGATGTTTTAAGCTTTGCTAATCAGAACCAGAAGTTTAGTTATTGACAATAATCGATTAAAAAATGAAGTTGATACCACGTGAATTAGTTTTCGTTGTCAAAAATATCAAATATCTGCGGATCTCCGTATAATGAAAATTTCACTAATTGTTGTCTGTAGATACACTGTAGATATATTACTTACATATTAAATTCAATTCAAAATATACTTTATTGCCCAAAAAATAAATGTTTATTGACGAAGCCTGGTTAAAAATATAAATAAAATCACACAAAGTGATAAACTGAGAAAAAAAAGACTTGTAAATAACAATAACCTGATAAAAACGTTCAAAGTATAAGAACATGGTTATTAAAATAGATTTAATTAAATCAATGAAATATCGTAGCTATTACGGTTATTCATTTCGACAGTAAGAGACTAAAAGAGGCCGACAAGAGTCCCTAGAAACCATTATTTCAAGAACGACTAACTATACTCTGGATTCCTCAATATAATTCCGTTAATTGGCGTTTTAAACAAAACAAAATTTTACCCAATTAAAGCCACATTGAATATTCTACGGTTACCGAGATAGCAAAGGTGTGCAATTAAATGTTCGCCAACCGGTATACTTTTCAAAAATCTTCCTCATCACAAATTGCAAAACACTAGACATTTAATAGATATGGAGGAGCATTTTTGAAAAGCTGGACACACTGTGTAATTCACATGGTGAAAATTCACCTGGTACACCTAACCCCCCAAGTTACTTGTTCCTCATTCTATCAAGGGTAAAAAATACAGCAAAGGTCAATGGATGTATCATTCCTAACTTGTTGCGCAGCGAAAGAAGAGATAAAGATTTATCACTTCTTTGGTAGACTTGGGTCAGCGGTTTATAAAACGGTAGCATTCGATCTAGTAAGACGTCCATCGGAACAATTTGGCATTGTTGAAATCTTGATAGGCTAGCTCATTAGTGTGAGAGTAGACTGTGATAATTTTGTAGAAAAGTAGGTCGGTTTACTTATGTGATACATTCTAAAAATAGGTTTTCGTCTAAGATGGAAATTTATGGAACAAATATTGAATCTAGTTTCATAATCACTTTATATGTCAAATCCTCATTACCGTCGTTTGTTTTGAAATATTTCTCACACGTGATTTTCATTTTATTTCAATTCCGGTGAATATTGTTACAATTAGCTTGTTGTTGATGTTTATTTGTTATATCGGTAGAAAATTCATGTGGTTTTTATTTTTCAGGACTGCTTCATTCCGGTGCATCTGAACGTTGAGACATAAATCAAAGAAAAAAGCATTTTATACCATGGTGAGTGCATATTTCAAATAGTTTTTATTAGTAATAGAATTGCGATGTTACTCCAGGAAAAATAGGCTTTCCCTCCCAATGAATCCATAATGGGCTGATTCTTTCACTAGACCTGTATANACCTATATTATTTTGCATTTTATCCGAATAAACTTCCTCTATTTTCAACCTTTGTTGTCTATTGCTCGGATCCAGTTTAGTGCTATTCCTCTAATACCTACGCTTTCAATATTTCTTATCTGTCTGCATCTATCTACAGTTTCAAATGCCTTTTGAAGGTAAGCAATACTGCAGTAGTATACTGATCCATTTCCGCACCTTTCTTCCAATCTATTAAAACACATTGTAACGCAGTTTCACACAAAGGACCCTATTATTCTCCAAATAATCCACTATCTGTCCATATGCAGCTTTCCAATACTTTAGCTGTAGCATTAATAATGTTTATTGGTCTTGAATAGCTTGGTTTGTATTTGGTTCTTTTGGTATAGGTATAGTAGTAGATAATTTTAGTTCAGTTGGTACTTCACCTTTCTCTAAAGAACTGTTGATAATGTTCAACAATGGATTTCAAATGGCACTCGGACACTCCAAAATTCTTTATTAAATTAAAAATATTCGAATATATATAAATTGAAATATATCACGAACTATCAACCTTTATTGTTGATTCTCTACAAAATAGATCTGATTTTTTTTTTCATAAAAATAATATCTGAAACCACCGTTTCCAACCTCTCTAATTATTCTCACTTATTGGGATTGTTTACTACTCAGTCAGTGTAGATATTTTCAAGCCAGTGACTTATTTTTGGACAATACAAAACAGGACAAACCTAAAATTTTAGGTAGAATTTTTGTGAAATTATTAGCTTTGTAAAGTTTTTTTGCATCTCTGCGACAGCTGATTAACGGAAAAACAGATTTTAAACAGATTTAAACAGATATGGCTGCCCTCACGGCCATGACTCATTGAACATGTATCCCTAATCCTTGATTTGACAATATGTTTATATATGCGCCTGTGTGTGTATGTATATGTACGTGTATATATACATGGGTAATATTTTGTAATACTGATGTTTTTTTTTCTTCTAATTTCAACATTTTGTAATTCCTTGACTTATCCTATCTGTATTGCTCTGTTTGTACACTCTCCTGGCGAGACGAATATCGTCAGAAAAGAGGAGGAAAAACGGGTAAAATATCGAGATTTTCTCTTCGAACTCCGCAGACTCTATCCAGATCACGTCCATCATGATCATGAAACGTCATCATACTGTTACGTCTCTGTGGGTCCTTTTTAATAAACACTTTGATTTAATCACTCAAAGCAATACTTGAATATAACCTAACAATTATTTCACTAGTTGCCGTTCTCTTATACTGATTCTACCTTCCGCTTCGTGGCTGTCTCTATTTTTTTTAAATGGAACGCTCGCGATCATTCCTCGAACTGTTTGCGCTCAGTCGGGATGACTTAAAACGTTCTCTATCATTTGCTCGGCGCTCTGTACACTCTACCGAGACACGCCGGGCCGATAATTGAGCCCAGTGGCGGCGCATAACTATACTTACTACTGAAAATATATTGTTGCTAAACTGGAATTCAAAAAATCAATATAAAATAATCAGATTCTGATATTAAATAATTATTCAGTCGTTACAGAAAAATGAAAAAGTATACTTTGAGTAGCAAAAAAATGCTGGGTTATTACTTTGATCTGAAGTCGGCGATTCTGAGAGTAAATATATAATTATTGGTTTCGAATAATTGTCGAGTTGAAATATAAGAAAACTCAACTTAACGTGAGATCGAAAAATTTAGTTTGTAGTGGTTTATCTTGTACTTATATTTATGTTACTTTCAGGGACTTCGGTACTCTCACACATCTATTAAAAGCATCTTTAGGAACGGGAATACTGTCAATGCCTGCAGCGTTTTACGCATCTGGTTTAGGGTTGGGGATTGTTGCAACTATAGTAGTTTCTATCATTTGCACCCACTGCGCCTATATATTGGTAAGTGAATGTTTTCGATTTCAATGTCTTTGATTTGCTACTAACACACTGAGTAATTTCAATGTAGTCATAAATCGAGCCTGAATGTTATTTGGGGAGGTACACGAGTCATCTTTGACATTTTTGTGTATTCACACGCTCTCCAAAAAAAAGAAGAAGAATTCACAGGAATGTAAAACTAATCACTGATATTGTATGCCTTATAAACGACATTGGGTTGATTTCTGATATGTTCAATTGTGTTTAAACATTGTTACTGTCCTTGCGTTTTTTATCATTTGTGGAAGTCTATTATAGAAATCTAAACCCTTGAAGGACAGAGAATTCATGGCCATTTTCAGATTCGTTCTATTTATATAGAAATCTATTCTATTTCTGGTAGAATAATTGTGGATATCATAAATCAAAGTATCAAATTCATTAAAATACTCAGGTTGACCCCCCTATTGTGTTATCTTGAATATAAATGTCATCTAATATAATAAAAATGGATGTTTGTTGGTTGGTTGGTTCGTTGGTTGGTTCGTTGGTTGGTAAGTAATAAACTTCTATATAGCTCAACCGATCGTGATGAAACTTGACATGTATAAATAATTTTTCATAGAGAAGGCTTGTAGGCTATCATATTTTCTGTAACTCGCCACTAGATGGCGCTGTAGAACAATTTTTTGAAAGCACTGTTCTATAACGTTGCGCACGCCTAAGTTCGTTGATTCTGATTCTGTCAAAACACTGGAACAGCAGTGATAGAGCAACATATTTATTTTCATGTACTAGGCCGTGCAATCAATGCGAATAGTGATCGTTATTGCGATATGTTGCGAAATTTTTTGGTCCCAGAGTTGCAGGAGTTTGCAGGTTTCAACTCAAGACCATGGTTCCAGCAAGATGGGGCCACTTGTCTAATATATAAAAATGGATGTTTGTTGGTTAGTTGGTTGGTTGGTAAGTGATGAACTTCTACATCGCTCAACCGATCGTGATGAAACTTGACGTGTATAAGTAATTTTTCATAGAAAAGGTTTTTAGGCTATCAATTTTTCTGTAACTCGCCACTAGATGGCATTGTAGAACAATTTTTTGAAAGCACTGTTCTTTAACGCTGCGCACGCCTATGTTCGTTGATTCTGATTCTGTTAAAACATTGGAACAGCAGCGATACAGCAACATAGTTCTAGTAGTCATATAAAACAATCTGCTGGTAACTGGTAACCATTTCAGTGCACCCAGAATTAAAGCTATAGGAGTTAATTTATTACATCCCAGAATTACCCTCATCCCTCTATTTTGCATTTTTTGTAATTGAGATTTTTCATTCAAATTAAGTAAGTAATGAGCTGCAATAATCAAAATGTTGTTGAATGATGCAGTTATAACAAGTAGTTTGAGTTGATGGAAAAATTACTAGATATTCTCAAGCTTGTCATTCAAATATAAATGAATAAAGGAGTATAATAGGTTATGTAATTGCTAATACATATAAAGTCCAACGGTTGATACATGATTACCTCACAGACTCGCTGAACAAAACTTTTTGGATCTACAGGTCATTATGTAGAGCTGATTTTACTTTTCTCTAACATATATGTAACAACGACTTTTCAAATGTTTGTGATTTCGGTTCCTTATGGCAATAGTAAATGTTTTCCTAGAGTTCGATTTAGTGGACCTAAAAGTCATGGTCCGCCTGAATAAATAAAATGTATAAGTGTCCAAGTTGGATAAATTCCTATCTGGAGTTTATTCGTTTGCAATAACATTCCTTAGCAAAATTATTTGTCTTTCATTATTAATTGATTTCGAGGCAAAAGAGTAGCCAAAAATGTCAAGTTCAAGGATTGTATGTGTCCGTTTTATTTTATAAAAATCATTTCAAAATTTGATTGTAGGTGGTGTGTGCACATGAGTTATATAAAAAGGCGAAAAAAACTCACATGAGCTTTCCAGAAGTAGCAGAGGAAGCTTGCTTAAGAGGACCGGAATGGGCGCGGGAATACGCTGGCGTAGCAAGGTTTGTTTATTATCTTGAAGTTTAATTTTCAGTTTTGAAAGTACACAATTTGTTTCTTTCACGATTCATACCTATTCCATTTGAAGTGTTGAAAATTTATTGTTGAAAGATCAATTGAAATCCGTTTTTATTCAGATAAAAATTGCGTTATATTTTTTGATAGTGATTCTCAGGAATATAGTAAAGTAAAGACTATCAAAAATAACTTCTAATGGTTGACTAATTCGCCTATAATGGGTTCATTCACATTCTTTTACTTTTTACATAACGAAAGAAAATTTGGCCCCAAGTTGGGCGCCAGTTTGAATACAATACAATACTTTATTTTTCCTGAGACAAGCATGGAAATCGTCATATACACATTAAAGATTGGAGTTGGAAAATATCAAGTGATAAAACATAAAACAAATTGAAATAAATAGTAGATGTAGGAGATAATTATATAAAACAATATAAACAGTAGAATAGTAAACAAGCAAACAATCGTGATGTCAAGCAGCCAGATCAGTTTGAAAATATTCATCATGTGAATAAAAGGCATTTTTGTGGATAATATTTTTAATGCTATTTTTGAAATTAATGGGATTTGAAATCTTCTCAATGAATGTTGGAAGTTTATTAAATATTTTTATAGACATAACATGAGGTCCGTTTGATACAGATGTAAATTTGTGTACAGGAACTATCACATTATAATTTTGCCTGATAGTATAACCAGCAGCTATGCGGATAGTATCCCTTTACTGACATTCATGGTAATGATTCTTAATGTAAGTGACACAATTTAAAATATACATGGATATCACAGTTAAAATTTGTTACTCAGTAAATAACTGCTTACAAGAATCACCATATTTTTTAAAACACATGGTTCTTAGTATCTTTTTTGAGCAATCAACAGATCATTCAATTTGCTGCTGTAGCAGACTAAGAAATAATTTAGACTTGAGTGAACATAGGCATAGTAGTACCTTAATAAAATATTTATGGGGACAGAATTTCTGAGATTCCAAATGACGAAACAATGCTTGGATAATTTTATAGAAATACAGTCAATATGATCATTCCAGGATAATTGTGAGTCAATGTTCAACCCTAAGAATTTGACTTATTTTTTCTGCACAATAGATTTAGTATTAGCTCTAATCAATATACTGCAGTCCATTTCTCCAAGCGAGAAAACAATGGTATTAGATTTATTGCTATTTAGTACGAGGCCGTTTCTGGCGCAGTAATTAAGCATATTAGCAACTGCAATATCAGCCTGGTCAGATAACCCTTCACAAGAAGAATAACTCAATAAGAAGGACGTATCATCAGCAAACTGTACAGTACAATGTTGTTGATTAATATTAGAGATGTCGTTGACGAATAAGAGAGAGTAGGACCCAGGACACTACCTTGGGGAACAACTGTTAATATGTTACGATTTTCAGAATGATATATTCCAGATTTGAGCCTAACTTTAACAGATTGTGATCTGCCAGTCAGATAAGTCTTAACCCATTTTAGACTTTGGCTGCGAATTCCAGTATCATAAAGTTTATGAGAGAAAGAGTATCATCTTGGGTGGATAAACCAGATTGGAATCCAAATTGGCTCTTTGCGAGTAGGTTATACTTTATAAAGAAGGATACGAGTCTTTTGAAATAGGATTTTTCGAAAATTTTTGAAAATGAAGACAGCAATGCAATACCTCTGTAGTTGGAAATTAAGTGCTTAACAATTTTCTTGTGAACTACAATAGCATGTTTAAGACACGAGGGAAATGAACCCTCAAGGAAATAGAGATTAAGTAGGTATGTAAGTGGTTCAATGATTAGTTCAGCAACATTCGACAATACTCTACCTGGTAATTCATCAATGCCACTAGAGTTCTTAGATGATATGGACTTGATGATATCAAGAAGTTCAGTTTCGTCTAAAGGATGAAGAAAAAAATAGTTTGTTTTTATATCGTGATGATGTTCACCAGCAGGCTCAGAATCATTGATTAGAGAATTTACAGAGTCAATGAAATAATCATTAAAGACTTGAGGAATAACAGGACCACCATGAACCCGAGTTCCATTATGTGGCCTAAGTGCGTGGGCTTACACTCACCCTCCCTACTCTACAGATACAGATACAGAGAAGAAGGACGTATCATCAGCAAACTGTACAGTACAATGTTATTGATTAATATTAGAGATGTCGTTGACGAATAAGAGAAATAGAGTAGGACCCAGGACACTACCTTGGAGAACACCTGGTAATATGTTATGATTTTCAGAATGATATATTCCAGATTTGAGCCTAACTAAACAGATTGTGATCTACCAGTCTTAATCCAGATAAGTCTTAATCCATTTTAGACTTTGGCTGCGAATTCCAGTATCATAAAGTTTATAGAGGAGAAGTTGATGGTATCAAATGCACGTTACAAATCATATAGAATAGTGATCGATTTTTCGCCATTTTCAAATTTGGATAAAACATGACTGACCAGAGAAAGAGTAGCATCTTGGGTGGATAAACCAGATTGGAATCCATATTGGCTCTTTGCGGGTAGGTTATACTTTTTACAGAAGGATGCAAGTCTGTTGAGATAGGATTTTTCGAAAATTTTTGAAAATGAAGACAGCAATGCAATACCTCTGTAGTTGGAGATTAAGTGCTCATTATTTTTCTTGTGAACAGGAACTACTACAATAGCATCTTTAAGACACGAAGGAAATGAACCCTCAAGGAAATAGAGATTAAGTAAGTATGTAAGTGGTTCAATGATTAGTTCAGCAACATTCGACAATACTCTACCTAGTAATTCATCAATGCTTGTAGAGTTCTTGGAGGATATGGACTTGATGATATCAAGAAGTTCAGTTTCGTCTAAAGGATGAAGAAAAAAAGAGTTTGTTTTTATATCGTGATGATGTTCACCAGCAAGCTCAGAATCATTGATCAGAGAATTTACAGAGTCAATGAAATAATCATTAAAGACTAACAGGACCACCATGAACCCGAGTTCCATCATCAGTTTCAAAATAATTCGGAAAACAATTGCTCATACTATTGGATGTTGTATTTTGTTTAATTATATTCCAGGAAACTTTAGATTTGTTATCAACTTCAAGAAATTTGTTACTGAAATACTCTTTTTTTGAATGGTCAATTTTTTTTCTATGATTCTTCAACATAATTTTGTACTGCTCATTAACGATTTCATCACATTGAGTTCTGTTCAGATTGAAAACATCACGAAGAAGTATACCTTCATTGATGATTTCAATGCAACTATAATGACTGGAAAAATAAACGAGAATTGAATTAAGTTATCAATTAGATTTTCTTTACGTATAAACTTTCATTTGAATTACTGAACTATTGAGTTATTGAAAGGAGATTTTTTTTCATTTCAGGACAGTGGTTATTTCCAGCCTTTTCCTCGCCTACTTTATGACCTGCAGTTGTTACGCTGTGATAGTTGCCAGGCACTTCGATTATGTGATAGATTACTATATCGGCTATGAGCTTGAAATAAGGATAACAATTGCAGTAGCAATGGTTCCACTCGCTATGCTGGCATGTGTTCCAAACTTGAAGTATTTAGCGCCATTTTCAACGGTAGCGAACGGATGTATGGCCGTCGCATTGGGTATCACTATGTACTATTTAGTAGCAGATATTCCTCCAATTTCTGAGCGAAGGCAAGTCGCCGATATCTCCACATTTCCAACATTCATCAGTATTACTATTTTCGCCATCGAAGCGATTGGAGTGGTAAGTATAATCATTTTGCTAGAATCACGTATACCTGATATTTTGATGACACGTTCAACCTTGTAAATTTTTGTTTCTACAAACACCCTGAATCTGTAAGCTGTCTGCATACAGTGATTTTTTGTGTAGGTTATGCCTTTGGAAAACAACATGGGAAAACCTCAACACTTCATTGGATTATGCGGAGTATTGAACCAAGGAATGAGTGGAGTTACATTAGTTTACATAATAGTAGGATTCTTTGGATACTTGAAATATGGAAGTGCCATTGAAGGTTCTGTAACATTGAATCTTCCAATCGAAGATTAGTGAGTATTATATCAAATAATAAAGTTTTATATTATTAGGTTGCTTGAAAAGTTTTGCCCCTTTTTATGGGTCTACTTTTAAGTGTAATATTTCAGTGAATACTCTTTTATTTTAATCGAAATGAGCGCCATTTAAATAAGTCCACTTTTGCCAACGTATCACAAGTCGATGAAGTCCGTCAGCATATAAATTGGGAGTAATTTAGCTGCAAGAGTTCCAGTCCAAAATCTCATGTATTTTCTTCGCGTTTCATTCTGTCGATTTTTGTACCTCAGGCCCAGTTTACAGGGAAGGGACGAAGGTCCGCGCCTTGTCTCTGCCAGACGTCCTCAATGTGTGAATTGGGCCTTAGACTTTCAAAGCCCACTTCAGACCTCACCTACTCCTCCACTTTTGCCGTCATACAGTCGACCAATCAGAAGCTACCGCGCGTACAGCGGGAAATTCAAATCAGTAGATGAACAAAGAGACTTCTGGCTCACTGCAAGGTCGCGCATCGTTGGTAAGTGTTTCAGAGACAAACTTTTGTCAGTGAAAGAGAGAAGCGTGTGACGTAATCAATGCAGAGAAGGATGGAATGAACATTTGGTCGATCTCCTCACAATAGGACTCTTCTGTGAGGGATAGGCCTGCTTGCAAAAAGTTATAAGGAATTACAAAAGCCGCTGACTACCGTGTTCTTTTTTTTTGGTGTGTTTTTGCCTTTGGAAAGTGCCTGGGTGGCTCATCTGTGTCCAAGCACTACCCTGAACGTTTCCTACCCACCGTTTGTGATGGGTTAGTCTCCACCAGGGTCCTCAAACCCCCGTCCTAGATTACTGTAAGCCGACCACTTTGGGGCTCATGTTCGAGGCTAAAATCTCCGGAACGAAATTTCGGAAACCAACGTTGGAACAGTGCGTTCATTAACAGTATCATTGCCATTACCGTGTTAGGAGGACCTCGTTAATCCCTAGCTCGCACAAGTTTCGATTTCTGAGGGTTGTCGTTCGTAGGGGTGCGACAGCTGGTTAACGGAAAAACAGATTTTAAACAGATTGCCAAATGCCTGGTTAATTTTTCCTGTTGTTTGGGCAGCGCTTTGGTTCAATTTGAATTCGTAGAGAAAAATTGGCAGAAAATCACCCAACGGCATCCTACAGTAATAAGCTGAAAAGAGGCAAAAATTAAAACGGAGCTACAATTAAACACATGACATTGAAAGGGACAACATTTTTGAAACAATCTAATACAGTACTGTTCCATTTATTGTGTTGCGTATCGTTTTCTATGAATATCCGTTTTAATTTCTACAGAAATTGAAACGGAAAAAGTTATTTCTGTGTAATTGAATATACGAACTGAGGAGTAGTTTTTCAAATATACTCTTCTCATTGGTATATGAATGAAAATATGGAATTGACCTACATATTCGCTCAAAAATATTTCATTGATATTCGTTAATTTTTCAAGTAAAACATTCGAAAAGATGTTTATCTCAAATATCTCAGTACTATCACTGATCTTGCTGGAACGCACTGAAAATACTAATGGTGAAAAAGTTTGTCGACTTATGACGTTTTAAGAAATTCACTTTTTTTCCTGTAGCATAATATACTGTTTCTGGTTTGATTATTTGGAGGGAGAGAGGAAAATATGTTGACGCCGTCTGTTGACTTGCAATGTTTACTCTATTGATTTATCAAACAGCCAAGTTGATAATAAATGCAATATTGATGTTTCTTACTTTTATTCCACACTATCGCATATAGGACTGAACTATGTGATTGAATTGACCAATACTTGATGAAAATCTATGATAAGCATATATAACAAACAACACTTTATTGCAAAATCGCAGAAGTGTTTTACTATACGATAGCTTCTTTACAGTGTAATTCCAGTTTAGTATCAGGCATGCCTTCAGAAATCGTACAGTGAAATACCTAATGACCTTTGAAATTTTGTTTAATGAACTCCACAGTCATATTTTTTATATTAATACAAGTTCAAAGAAAATTCCTAAGATTGTTTGTGTTTGAATCCAGAAAACTACATTGCCAAAAATGACTCTCCTCAATAAGAAGACTTAACAGATTTTCTCTGGTCTGGATTCCTGGCCATACTGGCCAGGACTCTCTTGCTGCTGCTGAGTGGGTCGAATAGACCCACTCAGTTTTGACCTGACCTAACCTAACCATTACCGATCTCCAAACACTCCGTATCAGAAGAGATCGTAAAGACTAGAAGACATTCTTTAATATTATAAATCGAATTGTTCGCTGTCCTATCCAGGTTCGGATTTCCAGCCTCTCCTAGGAACACAGATACATTTTGTCAACCGCACTGTAGAACTAATCAGTACCTTCATTCCTTCGTACCACGGACCACAAAAGCGGCAGATGAAACGGACTTTGATTTCATCAACTTCTGCATCCGAGTTCCAGAGGCAGTTGAATTCGGGGTGGAATGTGTAGTTTCTGCGAAAGTTTTTTTGACGGAATAATTAATTCAGTGATATGTAGTTCCACAAGGCTCTATTTTGGGACCTGTTCTATTCATCATCTACACACACGAGTTACAAAATTGTATCAAGTTCAGTTGCAGTCACCAATGATACCCAGATTTATATTTCATTTTGGAAAAATATCTCTCTTTGAAAGAATGTAAACTCTCGCGGCTGGAGATAACGGTGTCCAAACTTTTTTCCGGGTTGGTGTCTTTACTGAACGTTCAGGGGACATTAAGAGAGTCATAGTTACGACCCCCCGGGGGGCCGGTCAGGCCCCCCAGACGCACCCTGGCATTGGATGCGATCGGGTGTGGAGGGGTGGATTTTCGGGAAATCCTTGCGGGTACCGCCCCTGACCCCACACCAACAGGATTTCGCAGGGCTTCCTCCCGCTCACCGAACCCGGAGTTGCCTCCTTACATCTACTTAGTGTGGCTAACCAAGAGACAGGACCATCGGCAGCGTTCGACCGAACGTTCGTACAAGTTAACTAAGCTCTTCTTTCGCCAGAGAGTGCTCGCGTCGCACACCTGCCCCCGCCAACCATGCCAAATCAATTGGGAATATGGTCCCGGAAGTGGCCGGTCGGGGTCCTAAGCTCGGATACTAGTAGCTCCGTCCAACCGGGGTCCGACACCTCAAGCGTCTGCCTTGGTGCCCTCCAAGACTAGACTCGGATACTAGAGCCCGGAAGGACCGCGAGCCCCGACACCTCGAACGCTCGGATCCGTACAGAAGCAGGCGAGGATCACGGAACAGCATAAGCCGTCCAGTGCCTCGGTATGGGGCTGCAATGCACCCATGAATGGATTACCGCATCCCCGTACCCCTTTACCCGCTAGTGGAGCCGCTGCCCCTAAGAGGCCAACGCCAGTTGGAGATGAGGCTCGCTAGCCTCCAGCCGCGAGCGGGCACTCAACTTCCCCCTAGAACTCATGTTAGGAAAGTTCCCTTTCCAACGTTTGATGAGTAACCGTCGAGGACTCTTTCGAGAATCCTCTACCACACATCATATGTCGAAGATGTCGCGCCCATTACCCGTGTAGGTGCGGGATAGGGCGGTTCATCAACAACTTTTGGGTGTACGCCGTGTGGTCTGCACCGCATACCCTTACGTTACCCCGAGGGGCACTCATGTTAGGAAAGTTACCTTTCCAGCGTTGGATGAGTAACCGCCGAGGGCTCTTACGAGACACTTCTCCCACACATCTAGCTTGAAACCGGCCAACGCCTGTTACCCGCAGACGCGGGATTGGGTGGTTGACCGATAACTTTACTGGGTGAGTGCCGTGTGGTCTGCACCGGGGGACTGTCAAACACCCATAAGAGAGAGACAGTGATCCCCCGCCACTCACCCCGGGCGAACCCCCATTGTAATCAGCCTTTCTCCAGTAATGCGGGGCTCAGCCAGAGTTGTCCATTTCTTCTCTTGCTACTCTTGGGAACACACATATATGTAACAAACAAAACAGACACAACAAAAACCATTCCCCAGCCTAGAATCACGCAAAAAGTGTTTTTTGGATACTTTCTAATTATGTTTCTCTGATATCTCGTTCTTTTATTTCAGTGCTACACAAGCTGTCAACGTTCTTGTTGGTATCGCAGCCTTTTGCACATTTGGACTACAGTTCACTGTCTGCACCGATTTAACGTGGGGTGCATTGAAAAAACGTTACGAACACAAAGGACCATGGGCCATGTATGTGGTGCGGATAATATCCGTAGTTTTATGCGTGTCCCTAGCAGTTGCCTTACCGATGATTGTTCCATTCGTCTCGTTGATTGGTGCATTCTGTTTTTCATTCCTCGGGCTAGTTCTTCCTGTAATAGTTGAAATGCTAACGTTTTGGGAGAAGGGTTTCGGGAGATTCCACTGGAAAATCTTCAAAAATATCATTGTATTCATAACTGCAATGTTAGCTTTGGTATTTGGATCAAAGTCGGCTATTGAAGATATAGTGAAATTGTATACAACAGAAAGTACAGTCCAACTGAACAGTACGCTTTTACTAAACAGTACACTTTCATTGAATAGCACAGTAGGTTAATTCAGTATAAATTATTCGCTTGGGGTATCAGATATGAAACGTCGGTCCATAAACTAAGTTAAGACACTTTTTCTATATCTACTTCTAAGGTAAGATTCATCAGAGGTCTTCAGTTCCGATTTTTTTTCGGAAGAATGTGGCCAAAGAATGGAAAATGAATTCTGCATTATTAATTCTTCCGGAATAAGTTTCGGTAGAATAGGTTTAAAATTATACTATGTAAGGTTATGTTTTTCATAATGAAATCGGTATTATGTATTGTTACACAATTTCCTCTGTGATTTTGTCGTATGTGAGGTGTTTCACATTGGTCGCCTGCTCAGATTGAACCATCTACAGATGAAAGTATTCATTTAGTCCGTTTCAAAATAATTCGTCCTAACTCGGGGGCATGTCTCTGATTTTATTGTTATTGAACCGGGTCCAAACTGCGACCATCTGAAGGGTGGTAAATCGGGACGAATTGTTTCGAAACGATCTAGAAGCTTTCAATGAACTTCAATATCTAAATCGTTCAAATTTTATACTTGAGAGTTCTTTTATTGAAGAATTATTCAAGAATGAGTCTTCATAACTTTGTTTGTCAAACAAGATTATATAACGCCTGGGCCTAAGAAATCGCGTTTTTTTTGTTCAAAATTGACTTCATTGATCAACGTAATCTACATCTAGAGCAGTGGTTCTTAACCTTATAGTCATGCGGGACCATTTGACAAAATTTTTGTCAGGCCATGGACCACCAAGTTGGTTAACTAGTTTGTAGTTGATATAAAGTACCATACGATAACTATAAAATACAGTACAGTACAGTAAATAAATGGAACGGTCGTTCTAATTCATCTCTAAATTGCATTGTAAAACAATGCGATTTTTGTGATTGCATATTCTTTACTGAATTCTGAATCCTTGGTACAGTGCTACTTAAACGCGTACCAGCAGTGGCATCCAACCGATTTCGGTGCTTGTTTTTAATAATCAGAAGCAACGAAAACATAGATATATTGAAGAAAATAAAGTTAGGTAACGAATAGCAAGTTTTGGTAAAGAAATTTTCTTTTGGCTCCAAAATTCTTCAAGACTAATTCCTGATTCGAATGTATCTTTTGAGTTGCTGTCGTGTGGCATATCAATTACTTCTTCTTGAACTTCATCAGGCACCTCGGAAGCGTTTACAATAAATGGATTGCGGATCAACTTTAGAATACTTTTATCCTCGCGGTCGGAAAAATAGCGATTGAATTCAATTTTCAAGTTTTTCAAATGTAATATGTTCTTTTGTATTTCTTCTTTAATTTTAGCACTTTGTCCATCAATAATCTGATTAAGCTTATCGACCTTGTTGATCCATAGCTCGATTTTAGCGATAAATGCACTGATTGCAACTTCAAATTTCCCGACCCTTGCAGTAGAAGGTTTAATTTGTTCAGTTGCGCAAAAAAATCGACCAAACAAGCAAAATGTATATGAAATTTGGAGTCGCAGAACTGATCAAACAACTTTGTGTTTTCCTTGTTAGTTAAAATATTTTTACTTCCTCTCTTAGTTCGTACAACCTCAACAACATGTTTCCTTTGAAAAGCCAACGCAATTCCGTGTGGAAAAGCAAAGTTTCATGTTCAGAGTTCATATCAGAAAACAATTATTTGAGAGACGAGTATCGAGTGCATTCTTTTTAATGAAATTTATTACTTTTAAAGCTATTTTCATCGTCAAAGCAAAGCATTCTGGAAGTTTCTTGGCAGCTAGTGCTTGACGAAGAATAACACAGTGCGTCCTAACAAACGGATTTTTGGTTTTTATCAATGCTGCAAGACCAGAGCGAGAACCAAGTATAGCAGGAGCTCCGTCCGTACAAAACCCCGCAAGCCGTTTCCACATAATTCCATGGTTCTCCATATATTGACTTATTGCAACCATAACATCTGCACCTTGCGACGTTGTTTCAAGTTCTTGAGAAAATAGTAACTCTTCTTCAAACATTTTAGCGGCGGGTCGCATTATATCGCGTCGACTCATCTAACATATTTATAAAGATGGCTCTGCGAACCGCTTGGGATGCTTCCAGGGACCACCAGTAGTTCGCGAACCACCTGTTAAGAACCACTGATCTAGAGCCACACAATCGGACTGTGCTTACCTCACTGGGGGCTCTTTTCTAATTTTATTGGTATCTACAGCTTTAACTACTAAAGCTACTACCCTCTTTTCCTGGTTAGGTTATTTTGGTACCTTTCGGAGCCACCTGAGGAGCATCTTGGCTATTCACAGTTCTGCCAGCCATGTCACATAGCAGAATTAACCCACCTTATCATGAAAAATTCCCTGGATTCTATCTAAGAGGATTTGGACTCACGATCTTTGAATCGTGACCATTGCGTATTTGTAGCCGCTTCGATAGATTTTGTTGAGAAAACAGTGGACTGTATTTTCAGATCGTGATTTTGATCGTCAGACTGAGATAAATTCCTCTAGACCCACCGATCTTGATATCTTCTGAAGATCCAGTTGCCCCCAGGAACGGAATAATCCTTGCAATCGATAGTACTGGCACATATTTGATTTTTCAAAGTAACAGTTCCATATACACACATCAAAGTTATGAAATAACTAGCGGTTATGTCAATGTAGAGCGGTGATACATTTTTTCACTCACGATCCACTTGCTTAATTTTTTCCTAGTTCCTAACCTCACAGAATAAGTGGGGATTGCTTGAAATTGTTCGCACCCGTACCTAAAAATAATCTAATACAGCTGCCGGAGAGAAGTCCCACCCTCAAGATGTGCAGCAGATGTGTAGAAATCTGTTATCAGTCTGTTAGATTATTCGAGCCGTAGAAATCCAAATTCAGAACTCTATTCAGTTAGAGATGGAGTTTAAAAATGAATAACATAAACATATTTTAAATGGTCAAACTCGTGAAGATAAGATTCCATTTCTCCCACCGGTCATGACTCAGTAAGGGGTGACAAAGCTCCCATTCTCAACAGCTCAACTACAGGTAGAAAACAGGTGAAAATTAGGTATGAATCGGGTAGCAAATAATATTAGGTACTAGGAATTGATTTATTGACTACGTGTCTATGTCATATCGTTAGCCTTGTGTTCTGAAGAAGCTATGTCAATAGCTCCTCGAGATTTCTTAGGGGTCATCATAACTTCACAGTCCTGTAAGCCATTTAACATTGCAGATTCTAATTTGCAGACCCTCCTAGATAAAGTCTCACGGGAAAAATATCTGGTAGGGAAGGTATTAGAACCCACAATGAGCATACTAATACCTTATTTTAGAGCTCAAGACAATGTGACAATGGAAGTGATAATTTTTCGAATATTTGCAATTGAATAACCCTTTTCGATCTACAGGCAGACTGAATTCTTGGTGATACTATTAAGAGACCACTATTGAGAGACCGTGTGAAACACCTCGTTTAAACAAAGGCTGTGTTTTCCATATTTGTATTTTTATTTATTCTCCTTAATGTCGCCTTATTCGTTATATGAATTTAGGTGTTGACTTTGTTTAAATTTGATTCGACAAATATTTCATCCCGTTTCTATCAGTTATAATGAAGGGGTGAAATGAAGAAAGTCATCTACCAAAGTAATTTAGATTTATTATTCATCTTGATGTTTTGAATAGTACTTGTTGAAAGTGATAATTTTAAATCACTGTCAACATCTTTATAATTTTACATGATAACTATTACTTCTTGGAGTAGCAACTTACTGATTATTGTTTCTATCAGGGAATAACTTTCACCAGATCACTTATGTTAATTTAAGTTGCTTTGTTCAAATAAAAACCCATATAACAGAAAACGTGTATATATGTTTCTTCAAATGATATTCAACTTCCTTGTTTATACCTTTTTCCAATACTGTTCCCGAATTCTTTCTAATATCTTGATTAATAACAATTTCGAGTATTGAAGCTATTACGATTTTTGACAAACTAATGTTTCTTGAAAATTGTACAGAAATTCTAAGCCTGAATCACGCAACTAAATTAAACGGGCAATATAGGAGAAACTATCAGTAGTTGAATATTTGGCAGTGTGCCCCAGGGATCAGTAATCGGGCCTTAATATATATTAATATAATATACATACGGCTCAAAAACCAAAGAAGGCTCAGCATATGGAGTGTACTCCAG